AGACGGTCCTGGGGCTGATAGTCACCACATTAAAACTGCTGCCAAAGAAATAGTTGTGGGGCTTTGATCCCAACAGCCAGGTGGCCAGCAGATGGGTTGGGACCAGGTTGTCCTCCACAGGCCTGAGAGACCCCAGCTGACAGTGGCAGGCTGGGGAGGTACCTACTGCTTATGCACAAGATATGGAGGTCCAGATAGGCAGGAACCTGGAACAGGGCAAGAATCTTGAAAGGCTGGGTCTTGGGAGGGGGCTCTTGGGCCCACAAGAACTTACCCTATCCAACAAAAATGTGCTTTGAGACTGAAGGAGAATGGACTGCCTTTCCAGGACCGAGACGACTTGGGCTGCAGGAGTAATCCTCATGGGTACACCTGGGAGCTTTAATTACAGGTAAGCCCTAGAACCTAAGGCAACCATTCTGAATGGGACTGAGCTGTGCAGATTTAAAACTGAGACTCAGAAATATTTTAGGGGGATGAACTTTCCATGGAACGGAGACTATGCACATGGTTGGGAACAAGGAAACTCCAGGCCAGGGAAAAATAAGAAAGGGGTTAAAGTTCAGGGTTTTGGTTACAGTTTTGGATAGCACCAGGGATAGGATTTATGGTTTGGGGGTAGGATTTAATGTTAGGGTACAGGTTAGGGTATGGGTTAGGGTACGGTTTAGGGTTAGGCTACAGGCTAGTGTACGGGTTAGGATTAGGGTATGGGTTAGGTTTAAAGTACGGGTTAGGGTACGGGTTGGGGTATGGGTAAGGGGTTAGGGTTTAGGTGCTGGGTACGGGTTAGGGTTAGGGTACGGGTTAGTGTTACAGTATGGGTTAGGGTTAGGGTACAGGTTAGTCTCTAGACCAAGACTTGTGGGAATAAGGCAGTCAGGAGCCCCCCTAGGGTTGGGGTTAGGGGCTAGGGGCATGGCAGGTAGAGCTCTCCTGCTCTCAATGCTTTCAGAAGTGTCAAATGGTGCATTTTGCTTTGTGGTGTCAGGCTGAGTTCTCTGGTATTGCTCAGGTGGCCCAAATCCCTGGGGCATGGAGCCAGGGACCTAGGGAGAGACCTCTCAGAAGCCACGTGATGGTTAGGTTTAGGGCCCATGTGCACGGCACCCCTGTTCTGCGGGAACTGTGGCGAGCTTGGGTTGGGCGGTGTGTCTTGAGGGCAGGAGTCAGGTTGAATGTCAGGCTCAGGGTTTGCTGCCAGGCGGTGCAGAAAATTCAGTTTCACCGGGATTGGAATTCAGAGTTCTGCCTGAGTGTTTCCCAGAGTTCCCAGTGGTGTGGTTTCCTTCTGGGTGGCAGCCCGAATCCCTTGATAATGCCCGGCTGTCCCGAATACCTGCTGCTTTGGAGCAAGGCTCTGGGGAGAGACGCTCAGAAGCCAACCTAGGGTTAGGCTTGGGGCTGAGGGGCACGCCAGGCCTGATGTGCCGGCGCTGTGATGAGCTTCCTGGGGACTGAGTTGAGGCCGTGGGTCTGGGGGGAGTGTCAGGCTCAGGGACTGCGGCCTGGGAACATTGACATCGGGGTTCGTTGGGATGGACCGGCACAGTTCTCCTGCTCCGAATGCTTATCGGACTTTCCAATGGCATGTTTTCCTTTTTAGTGGCAGGTTGAGTCCTTTGGCACTGGTCGGGTGTCCCCAGTCCCTAGGGCTTTGGAGCCAGGCCCCTGGGGGGACAGACCCTTCAGAAACCTCCATAGGGTCACCATTAGGGCCTAGGGGATGGCAGGTCTGACGTGCAAGTTTGTAGCCAGCTCTGGGAGGTTTGTTTTGAGGGCGAGGGTCAGGTTGAGCGTCAGATTCAGGGTTCGCCGCGAGAGGGCGCCAAATTTGTGCATTGGCTGGGTTGGGCATTCAGATTTCTCGGGTTCTGAACGCTTTCCGGAATTGAAAGTAGTGTGTTTGAGTTCTTTTTGACATTTGAGTCCTCTAGTGTTGCTCAGTTACAGCCACCCCTGGGACTCTGTAGCCAGGCTCCGAGGACAGTCCACTCAGATGCCAAGCTAGGGTGAGGCTTAGGGCCCAGGGGCGTGACAGGCCTGATGTGCCAGTGCTGTGATGAGCTTCCTGGGGTCTGAGTTGAGGCGGTGGGTCATTGGGGAGTGTCAGGCTCAGAGATTGCGGCGTGGGCACGTTGAACTCGGGGTTCGTTGGGATGGACCGGCACAGTTCTCCTGCTCCGAATGCTTACCGGAGTTCCGAAATGGCACGTTTTACTTTTTAGTGGCAGGCAGAATCTTCTGGTACTGGTCAGGTGTCCCAAAGCCCTGGGGCTTTGGAGTCAGGCTCTAGGGACAGAGCGCTCAGAAGCCAACCTAGGGTTAGGCTTAGGGCTTAGGGGCATGAGAAGGCTGATGTGCCGGCGCTGTGATGAGACTCCTGGGGTTAGAGTTGAAGCCATGGGTGAGGGCGGAATGTCAGGCTCAGGGATTGCAGCCTGGGCATATTGAACTTGGGGTCCGTTGGGATGGATGGGAACAGTTCTCCTGCTTGGAATGCGTACTGGAGTTCCCAATGGCACGTTTTCCTTTTTAGTGGCAGGCTGAGTCCTCTGGCACTGGTTAGGTGTCCCAGATCCCTGGGTCTTTGAAACCAGTCTCTGGGGACAGAGCACTCAGAAGCCAACCTAGGGTTAGGCTTACGGCTTAGGGGCATGACAGGCGCTTCCCTGGGGCTGAGTTGAGGCCATGGGTCAGGTTGAGTGTCAGGCTCAGGGTTGGCCGCCAGAGGGCGCCAAATTTGTGCGTTGGCTAAGATGGGCATTCAGAGTTCTTGAGTTCTGAACGCTCTCCGGAGTTCCAAGTAGTGTTTTTGAATTCTTTTTGGCAAGCTGAGTCCTCTGGTGTCGCTTAGCTATTGCCATCCCTGGGGCTTTGAAGCCAGACTTCTTGGAACAGAATCTCAGAAGCTAACCTAGGGATAGGCTTACAGCCTAGGGCCATTTCAGCCCTGATCTGCCCACGCTGGGGCAAGCTTTGGGGGGCAGGGGATCTGAGTTGGGGCGTGGGTGAGGGTGAGAGTCTGGTCAGGGTTTGCAGGCAGGGGGCCGTTGAAAGTGGCATTTCGCTGGGATGGCCATGCAGAGTGCTCCCACTCCGAAATGTTTGCCACAGGTTCCCAATGTTGCAGTTTGCTTCTGGGAGACAGGCTGAATCCTCTGGTATTGCTCAGGTACCCCCGGTCCCTGTGGCTTTAGAGCCAGGCCTCTGGGGCCAGAGCCCTCAGAAGCCAGCGAGGGATAGGGTGAGGGCCTAGGGGCACGGCAGGTCCAACGTGCCAGCACTGTGGACTGCTTCCCACGGGTTTGTCTTGAGGGCCTGGGTGAGGTGGGATGTCAGGCTCAGGGTTTGCCGCCAGAGGGCGCAAAATTTGTGCATTCCTTGGGATGGGCATTCAGAGTCCTCCTGCTCTGATATCTTTCAGGAGTGCAAATGGTGGGTTTACTTTCTGGGTGGCAGCCTGAGTCCCTCGATACTGCTCGGGTGTCCCAAATCTGTGGGGCTTTGTAGCCAGGTTCTGGGAACTGACCCCTCAGAAGCCAACCTAGGCTGATTCTTAGGACATAGGGACACGGGAGGCCTGATGTGCCAGCCCTGTGTCGAGGTTCCCGGCAGTGGGGGTCAAGGGCGTGGGTCAGCATGAGTGTCTTGCTCTTCTTTTCGGCCAGGGGACTGCTGAAAGTGTGGGTTCGCTGGGATGGGCATGCCACGTTCTCCTGCTGTGAATCCTTTCTGGAGTTCCCAACGGTGGGCATTCTTTCTGGGTGGAAGGTGAGTCCTCTGGTCTTGCTCTGGAGCGAGCCCTAGGGAACAAAGCACTCAGGAGCTAACCTAGGGTTGGGGTTAGGGTCTAGGGGTTAGATCATAGGGGTTAGGGCGTAGGGGTTATGCTGTAGGGCCTAGGGTTAAGGTTAGGGTTAGGGCCTAAGGTAGGGCCAGGGTTAGGGTTAGGGCCTAGGGTTAGGGCATAGGGTTAGGGTTAGGGATTTGGGGTAAGGGTACGGGTTAGGGTTAGGGTATGGGTTAGGGTACAGATTAGGGTTAGGGTACGGGTTAGGTTACGGGTTAGGTTACGGGTTAGGGGTATGGGTTTGGGTACGGATTAGGGTACAGGTTAGGGGGTGTTTGCTCTGGGTTCTGCTGACACTGTTCACAGTGTCCACAGGAGAAGGGCGGCCCATGTGAGTGCTCACTGGCTCATTGTAGCAGATCACGCTAGAGCAGAGGGGAAGCTTCGGCAGGGAGTCTCAAACTCTGCATCCGTTTGTGTTCTAGTCTTCCAGCAAATACACCATATGCTCTTGCACCCACCAGGTAAGACATGACTCTGCCTTCTAGGAGTGGGCAACCTGGAAAGAGGACGAGATTAAGACAAAGTACACAGCATAGTGATCTCCTGAAAATCGTTTTTGAGTGGCTGAAGGCCTGAGGGAGAATGGGTCTATTTGGTGACTCCCTGTGCTACCCTTCTGGCCTCATTTAAGGGTAGACAGAGGGATGTATGTATTCAGTGCCACACTGGATGACTGGGGACTTCCTTTGGGGCTGGGAGGACCACCGCTCAGAAGGTAGGGTCAATGCTGTTCCAGAAGCCCAGAACTTTCTAAAGGCAGGTGAAGCTGGGTATGAACTGGTGAGCTGGACCTGAGCAGGTGTGAGCCGGGAGTAAGCAGGGCAGGGCAGAACTCCTGGGCCTCCAACTGTCCTGGGGTTAGGACCTCTGGTCCCTGGAGACCTCCCCTTGATGGCCCTCCAACAGCCCTGAGAACAAGCCCTATAGGGAAGGTAGTCTACCTCAGGAGACTGCGGTCCTGGGGAGCGGCCTGGGGCCCGCAGTGTTGAGCATCCCCTTCCTCTTGCCATCTCTGGGCTCAGATATGCAAGCCTCACCTGTGATACAGGTCTTGATTTTCCCATGGCTCTTTCCTCAGGGGTCCCCCTGACACTTGGTGTTTGCCCTTGGTACAGGGTCCTGAAACACTGTGTGGACTCCACCTATGAGGAGCAGGGCCCAAGCCCTGGGTACCGCATGGAGCTGTCCATCTTCTACGTGGTCTACTTCATGGTCTTCCCCTTCTTCTTCGTCAACATCTTTGTGGCCTTGATCATCATCACCTTCCAGGAGCAGGGGGACAAGGTGATGTCTGAATGCAGCCTGGAGAAGAACGAGGTGGGTGGCTCCCTCTTCTGCCCCATGTGCACGTGTGCATTGGATGCTCTGCTGGGCTCCCCTGATGGGCAGCATGGGCTGAACCACTGGAGTTCCCTTCTGCATGGGACTCGCTCATCACCGCATAGCTGGTGGCCAGCACAGGGGCAGGGAGAGACCGAGTGTGGCTGGTCAGGGCTGCCTGCGAGGATGAGAGAGACAGGTGTGGGGTGCAGTGGGTGCTGCAGTGTGGGGTTCCTCCCAACCCCACCATGTTCTCAGTGCTCCTTTGTCCCCGGGCAGAGGGCTTGCATCGACTTCGCCATCAGCACCAAGCCCCTGATGCGGTACATGCCCCAGGACAAACAGTCATTCCAGTACAAGACATGGACATTTGTGGTCTCGCCTCCCTTCGAGTACTTCATCATGGCCATGATCGCCCTCAACACAGTGGTGCTAATGATGAAGGTATGTTGGCCCAGCACGGGGGACAGTGGGTGCCAGCTGGGGTGTGGGAGAGAGAGAAAGAGAGCCATAGTTGCAGCTGATCACGTCCTGGTCAGCATGGGATGCCTATAGAAGCCCAGTGCCCTGGGTTCTCTGTGGGCTGAGATGATGAGAGTGTCCTGGGAGAAAACGGGGAGAGCAGGGACGGGTATCCCTACCCTGGGCAGGCGTGCAGTTCTCTCTGCTCTGGCAGGAGGTCTAGGCTGGGGTGTCTTGGGGCAGCCGAACCTGTAGCCAATGGCACTTATTCCCCGTGCAGTTCTATGACGCACCATATGAATATGAGCTAATGTTGAAGTGCCTGAACATTGTGTTCACATCCATGTTCTCCATGGAATGCGTGCTGAAGATCATCGCTTTTGGGGTGCTGGTAGGTGCCTTGGCTCCCTCTTGGCGTTTTGGTGGTCTGCATTCTGGCTCCCTCTCTGTAGGGGGGGTCTTCAGGGACTTGTAGCTTAGAGCTGGGAATTCCCCAAGCCCCCAGAGCAAATGTGACATTGCAGGGGCTCCTGAGGAAGGGGCTTCTCCAATAACCTGAGCTGCCTGAGCTCTGCCCCAGCCCAGTTGCTGGAGACAGGTGGGGCCAGGCTCCTCCTCTTTGGACATACAGCTCTCAGTTCTGCACCTGCCCAGACCCACAGGTGTTTGCTTACCCAGCTGTGGTGTCCCCCCTGGGTGGCCCATCTGTCCCTTTGCTCCTTTCTTGATTAAGTGTACTTCCTGCAACTCCTTGCCTGGCAGAACCCTTACCAGCCTCTAGCAGTAACTGCTCTTTTTTCTCTCCAGAACTATTTCAGAGATGCCTGGAATGTCTTTGACTTTGTCACTGTGTTGGGAAGTATTACTGATATTTTAGTAACAGAGATTGCGGTAAGTAGTGTTTCCTGTCCTTCCTGCAGGGCCCCAGAATGGTTTCCTTCTAGGCAGTGCTCCTCAGTGCGCCTCCAGGTCCTGAGTGTTAGCCCCTTCTCTCTTGCCAGAGTTCCCCAGGAGCCCCTGGAGAGAAGGAGGCTCCTCTCCAGAGGTGGAGTTGGGGATTGGGTATTGGCTTGGGAAATGCTTTCTCTTGGATAAGAAAGTGGTTTCCAAAAGGTCTTCTAGGCTGGTGGTCTGAGAGTCACCTGGGAGCTTCATTGTAACAACTGACCAGGAAGACAAGAATCTTTTAAATCTGTGTGTGTCTGACAAATCTAACAACTTGGCACCAAAGTACATGAACTAAAACCAACAAGAATTTAGAATATTTTAGAATATTAGGTTTCTTTTACGTGTGTGTGTGTGTGTAAATAAAATGGGATACTCATTCATATCAAACATACACAGATTATATGTCAAAAACTGACCAAGTCCTAAAATATGAAATTGTCTCGACAAATTTCAAGGAATCTGAATCATAAAGCAGTATTCTTTGAGTACAATGCATTATGTCAGAATTAAATGGCAAAAAATCTCATCTCAGTCCTAAGGTGACTTCTCCAGGAGCAGACACTTAAGGTGGGGTTCTTGTACAAGTCATTTCTTAGGAAGCACTCCCGGGCAAGACCATGAGAGGGAAGTCTGGGGAAATGGACGGCTAAGAGAAGGGGGATCAGAAATGGATCTGGAGCCAAGTGCCGGGGTGCATCTGGGTCATCCCCGACGGGGGCTTGGAGACAGGGTGGTCACCCCTCAGAGCTGCAGAGCTCATGCCTCTGTACGGATTAGTCCACCACTAAGGGCTGCACCTGGGGGCTGCAGTTGTCAGATGCCTCCAGCCCTTCTGAGTGCATCCCACGTGCAGGCAAAGTAGGCTCTGGCACCACTGGGGGGAAGGAATATCAGACTCCTTGGTAACAGGATTGCACTGGAGCGCACGAGTGTCTGCTGTTACCCTGGCCCCACTCAGCTCTGCCCACGACTCACACTGGGTTCACTTCCCTCCTTCTTCAGGATGATGCTGGTCATGATGTGTGGGAGAAGAGGGTTGGTGACCAGCTAGAGCTAGTCTGAGTTAAGTTGATGTTCATTAACTTATTCTTCCTAACCCCTTTTGGGGTCCCCTGACTGGTGGCCAGCCTTCTGCCACTCTAGTTGCTGGGCAGGATGAGGCAGCCCACACTGTCACCCTATGAAGCCCAAGTCCCTGCTTGTCACACTGTTGTGTGGTTCTGGCTTCCATAGTAGTCCAGTCATAATTAAGACTGGTCATAGAGCACTAGAAAGGCCCTAATGAACCACCTGATTTCCAGATAGACTTCTTCCTACCCTATGTAATGGTAGCTCTGCCCTTCTCCATTCCCAGCATCCAGTACCCTGGCCAGCCTGGAAACTCTGCTCTGCCTCCTGATCTTACAGCATGAGGAGCACAAGTGACAGGGGCCCACTATGACTTTGGTGTTCCACAGTGGAAGCCTTCCCTACCCCTTGAGCCAGGACCTCTAGATTTGCCAAACCTAAACTTATGGAGATGATGAGAACAAAGTCTGACCTGGGTTGCTGGAGGATAGTGAGAGGGGCCACCCCTACTTCCACCCCTTGCTTTCTGGATCTGTGCGACAGTTGGACACCCAGTACCATCTCTTGTTTGTCAGTTCATCTTGAAGGACAATATCCCAACCCTGTGAGGTACATCACCAAACCAGCATTAATCTGTGTCTTTAAGAGGCTTTTTCAGGGTTTTATGAGGTTTCCACCTCCTGAATGATATTAAATATTATATGCCAGTGGATCCCGAGTCACCTGCTCCTTTTGTACCTGCTTCTGCTTGCTCAGTTTGGAGTCGATGTTATGTGGAATCCAATATGGGTAAATCCCTGGTATTGGTGTGGGCCAGGGTATTCCATGGGCAAAGACAAACCCACACCCAGAGTATGAGTGATCCCAGTAGAGACAAATCACTGCCATTTCCAGGTGAAAGGATTCTCATGTAAGCAAATTACCACCAAGTGGCTGGCTGACAGCCTAAAGCATGGTGCATTGTAGAGACCTCGTTGACTTCTCATAGTGGGCTGGGTGTTTAGTAGTGGTCATGGCTGGATCAGCCCACCTGCTGGGCTCAGGCACAGCCTTCATCTCAGCCATCATGGTCACTCCATTCATGGATCTACTCTGTGAACACTGGGGCTGGTGAGAATAGAGGCTGGCTGTCATCTGTTGGGTAAACCATCTCAAGGCCTGGTTTTTAGTGCCCCTACAGCTGTGGATGCTCTGTGGTGGACACTGATGTGTAATACAAGGACCTGCATGTCGCCTCCATTCCCTAGGCACATCTGGATGCCTTTCCCAAACCTTTGTTCCCTCCGGAGCCCTGGCCAAGCTTTAGCTCTTGCCTAAGGTCCTGTAATCCATACCACAGGCAACTTCTTTCTCCATCCGCACCATGGCTGCTCAGGTTCACCACCTAGAATTCTGCCTCACCACTGTCTTCCAGCTTGTCTCTGTGTGGGGTTCTAGTGATACCAATGTATTCAGCCAACGGCTTCATGTAACAGGCTTGAGTTTTTCCTCCTGGCTTTAGTGATCATCCCATGATATGTTGGGGTAGGAGTGAGCTAAGGAAGACAGGTGCAGCAAAGGTGCAAGGCCTGGGGCACTGGGCCACCTGCCATGAGACTGTGCCCTCTATTTTGAGTGAGGTAGGAAAAGGAGTGATATAATCTGGCTTTTCAGACCAAACCTCTGGCTGAGAATATAGTGCAGGGCACAGGCAGAAGCAGCTAGGCAAGTTAGGGCTTAGTTGGGTTATCCCAGAAACAGACCCCAAGACAGGAGTTCAATGCAACTCATTTATTTGGGAGGTGATCCCTGGAATACTAGGGGAACAAGGAAGTGGGCCAGGGAAGGGGGGCAGCCAATACATGGTACTATGAAGCCAGGTACCACTGTGGGTCCTCATTGGGAGCCCTGAGCCTCCATTATCCCAGCAAGTGGCGGGGTGACTGGGGTATTTTTTTAAAGATTTTATTTATTTATTTGAGAGATAGCACGAGAGGGAAGAGGGTCAGAGGGAGAAGCAGACTCCCCGCTGAGCAGGGAGCCCAATGCGGGACTCAATCCCGGGACTCCAGGATCATGACCTGAGCCGAAGGCAGTCGCTCAACCAACTGAGCCACCCAGGCACCCGACTGGGGTATTTTTCAGCAAGTGCTCTTAGCTACTAGTTGAAGGCTGCTGGGGTGAGGGGGCCAGAGAATGTTAATTCTCATGTCCTGGCCTGGGAAAATTCTCAGGGAAAAGAGATGTGGATGCTGACAATTGAGTATTGAGCCTGTGAGTATGTGAGTGCCACTGAATGCCATAGCAGGGAGCTCAGCAGATGGTCTAAGGTGAGAGACCGTCATTCTGGATGTGTTTTCCAGTAGAGCTGCAGATGGACGACATGTCTCTGAAAGTTGAGCAAGAATGGCATCAAAGTCTGAGCACTTGGGAACGTCGATTATCATTAATTGAAATGGGAAAGACTGTGGGTGGAACAGGTTTGTTGTGGACTGTTTGTACATGTGGACTGGATGCAATTTGTACATGTTAGATTTGAGTTGCCTGTTGGCCTCCCTGAAGGAATCATCCAACAGTCCGTTGGACAGATGGGCCTGGAGTTTAGAGAAAAGATTCATGCCAGTGTCATAGGATTGGGAACCATGAGCATATGAGATGATATCAGATCCATGAGACTGAATGAGATCAGTAAAGGCGAGAAAAGAATGAGCTACTGAGTTCTAAGATGCACCAACATTTAGTGACAAAGGCGTGGCCGGAGGGCAGAGAGGTTTCCCAAACCATTAGCAAAGGTTCGTGTGCAGAATGTGCAAGGCTCTTCTGTGAATCATTAAGACAAACAAAAGCAACCGAATGGAAAAATGAACTGAAGGCATAATTGGGCATTTTACTAAAAGAATAAGAAACAGAAATGACCAATTAACATAGGAAAAGCTGCTCACCCTTATTTGTAATTAAAGAAATGTAAAGTGAAATGACATTGAGATGCCATTTCACACCCTCCGGTTTGTCAAACGTCAAAGAGGAATTCCAGCCATGCCAATGGTTAGCAAGTGGGACAGCCAGGACCTCCACGCTACTGCTGGGGGTTTTCATTGGACAACCTTTTCGGAAGAGTGTGGCAGTCCCTGGAAAGCTGGACATATGCATGCCTGCAGGGACTTAGGCACATAAGCCAGAGGGTGTCCGGGCAGGTGGCCTGGAGACACTTTCACACAGAGGGTCATGGCTACCTTGTTCACAGTAGCAGCGGAACGCACTGATTGTTAGGGGACGTGAACATAGTGAAGTGCCGCACGCACTGGAGGGTGGTGTTCTCAGATCAAGAGGGATGCTTTTCAGAAGCAGAGTTTGCTTGCCGTCAGCGCAAGTTTGCCCAAGTCCGCGAAGGCTGCATACGGTAGCGTCCCATTAAAAGGCTAAGAAAAGTCAAGTATAACGCATTTTAAGAGTTTGTCATAAGACAGTAAAGAAAAGCAATTATTAACAAGAATTAAGGGTAGCTACTACATCTGGGGAGGAGAAAGGGAGACAGGACAGGCTTCAAATGTCATGGTAACATTCTTTTTTCTTTAAGCTGGGTGATGAATATATGGACATTCTATGATTTTTCTTTGAAAATGTGCATCCGTACATATATTTATACATATTCTTTTGTGTATGTGTTATGTTTTATGGTTTTAAAAAATTAGTAATCCAAATAATGCGGGGAAAGTTCTGAGCTGCTATTTTCACACAAAAACCAAGGATGTTCTGTCACACCAACCATTGGCATTGTGGCATTGCCCAAGTGCTTCTCATCCAGAAATAGTTCGTACCAGTGTGGTTTCTGGGAGGAGCAAGCTGGCTGCTGATCCTTAAGGGCCCCGTCCTTGGACACAGGCATCTTTGACCCTGGATAAAGGGATCCAGACAGTGCACTCCTCTCTGCAAAGGCACAGCTCTGGGGGTTTCTTCATGTGTGTGCCTCCTCGCCCAAGAGGGCGGACTGATGAGCAGGCATCAAGGGTGGGGGTTGCCACACATGCAGAGAGCACGATGCCCAGCTGTTTTGCAGGGAAACCTCCACCTCCAAAGAGGCCCGCACACAAGGCAGAGACCTTCTGTAGCGCAGGTGGCTGGAGTAGCCCAGTGTCTGTCCCTCAGCTGTTGGACACGCAAGGCCAAGGGGGCTTGTGGTTGTATCAGACCTTGCTTCAAATAAGCCCTCCATGGCCGCTGCCATCGGCCCCCGATGCCTAGCAGGGCCGGTGGGAGGGCTCAGGAGCCGCTTGTCTTGGAAGCCCTGCTGTGTCCTGGCCGCTGGTGCTCTCGGAGCTCAGTCCTTCACCCAGTTCTGCCGAGAGGGGAAAAGATGAAAGGAAGTCGTCATGTGGATTAGTGGTGTCTTTATTTTTGTCCATTTGTAGTCACTTCAGATGTTACTTTGTGATGTACTTTTTTTTCCTTAGGCAAAAAGATAAGTGTCAGTTCCCACTACCAACTTAATCAAAATAGAGTAATAGTCTTAACCAGGGTCATGTAGAGACAGCATTCCCAAGCAAGCATAAAACTGACATTGATTTCTTTGCCTGGAAATAAAAAAATAAGTGTCTGTGAGTCCTCTTTGGATTTGTATTACAAACAGGAATGCAAATGAATGCCACCCTGTCTGCATAACCTACAGATTTCAAAAATATGTTTTGATTTGATGCATTTTAAGCCAAATATGCAAAGTTTACTAAAATCCTAAAATTTTCCAGTGAAGTATTCAAAGTTTGAGTTTTTGCTTGTGTTGATGACTCATTTTCTCTTTTGTTTTCTGTTTTTGTTCTTGATTTCCCTTAACCTACCTGCTGACTCACGCCATCCAACCAACAGACAACGCGAAAACCATGTCTCCATCTGTATGTTGCGCACCTGCTGCTCAAACATCCCAATTTGTGAATAATATGCAAATATCCATCCATGAAAACGTCACATATAGGAAATGGTTGGTTTCATGACTTTCAACAGTTCTTAAAACTCCTTGCTTTGCTTGCTCTCCCCCTGTTCTTCCTTCCATTTCCTGAGACCCCTCACCACTGCCTTCCTGAAGGGTGTGGTCAGAGTCTGGCAGTACACCCATCGCCTCTGGCCTCTTCTCGGCTCCTGGGCTCCAGCAGGGGCTTCTGAAGGCCCTCCCAGGAGCCACTGGATTCAGGAGCTGGCCTTGGGTCTAGAGAGGAGGTGTAGGGTCTTCTGAGTGAAGCGGCTAAGTGCCCAGTGTTTCTTGTCGGGATCGGGCTCAGAATTGGGGAGATTTTTGTAGGACATGAGTTTGGACCTGATCCTACAGAGTCCATGGTTTCTCTTGCACCGTCCCCCTTCTGCTCCCTTCCCCACCGTACCAACATACAAGGCTGGTTCTCCCCGGTGGCCTCTGACGATGTCTCCTGTAACATTCTCCCTGGACATGCCCTTCCATAGGGAACCCTCTCTGGGTCTCAAGCCTGGAGGGGATTGGAGATTTTGTCTTCATGATTCAAAAAGGGGTGGTGTAAGACCTGATGGAGTGGGAAGAGGGTCTGCCCCCAGAGACAGTGAAGCTCAGGGCTCTTGCACCCAGGCATCATTGATGCACTTGTGCAGCCTTGCTCAGTGAGCTCGTGTGGAGTGCAGGTAGCATGAACTGGGGCTTCCTTCCAGGCCTTCAGGGATGTTTGCGAGGAGAGCAAAGATTCCAGGAGCAGATTAAACTAAAGCTGTGACTAGAAATTCACATAAAGTAGCAAATATTTGAGATTCCTCTTACAAAACGAACATTAATGATAAAGTGTTTCACAAGTGGAGCAGAAGATCTTGAGTTGTGAGAAAAATGTCATTTGATGCCACAGAAATTTTCAACTCATTCAGGCCTTTTCCCGTCCACTTGGGAAGAGCACCCCCCCGTGCCCTTCCTCATCCTCCAGAGCACACATCATCACCTGACATGCTTTGCATGTTGGGGTATACAGAGCTTTTCTTTTCTTCATCATTGTCCCATGAGAACAAAGCTGATTAGGAGAGCAGTTTGTTGCAGCATAGACTGTGGCCCCCAGCAGATGTGCACAGGTCACTCTGCTTGACCCTGACTGGAAATAGTGATGTACTTCGATGCAGGAGATGCTGATCCGGGTCTGAGGCCTGTTGATCCCCTTTGTGGGGGCCATGTTTCACAATGCCCGGTGTACCTTTAAATCCCTTAAATCTTGGACTCCTCACTGTCTGGGCACAATGTCCTAATGTCTCCATCTTGTGGATGAGGAAGCAAGGGGCTCAAAGGAGCCAGGGACCAGTGTACCCTCAAGGTGAATCAGCTACCACATTGAGAGGTGCGATGATGCATCTTTGGGGTGCTCTAGACCTTTCCTGATGCAGAGGCAGATGGCAATAAGGAAGGCCTGGCTTTGAAGTAGTAGGGGAAGTAGTAGGTGCTCTCTGGTGTGACAGAAACCACGGACTCTGGGAGGATGGGGCAAGCTATGTCCATCTCCAAGGGGTTGGCCGAGGCCAGAGGCGACTATGCATAGCTGTGGGAGGCTGCCTTGTGCTTGCTGCCTCCTGCTCTCCTGCATGCGCTTGCATGGCGTTGCCTGGCAGCTCCTGCCCTGGGCACAGCCACGGAGTGCTCTGCCTGCCACGCTGTGCTCGGAGTATCTGTGGCTGCTGTCGCCATCTATCCTCATGGGTCTCTAGGGCTGTCTGTCTGTTGCCACCCCACCCCTCTCCCGAATGCCCACTGGAGCCCCGAGAAAAGACATCTGGGAGGAGGGGTGAGAACTTGAGTCTCAACAAAACGTAGCAGGTGACTTGTTGAGCTTTGCGTTTATGCACTATGTGGATGGACAATGCCTTCCCCTGCCTTGTCTTCCATCCCTTCTTTCTCACCCAGAGCCTAGATTTTCCCCAATATCTCCAGGAAATCTTCTCGTCTGTGCCAGTGGACTGAGCAGAGTGCTTTGGGCTGGGCAAATGATAACTGTGTTATCACAGTCTTGGCCCCTCCAGACCCAAGTGAGCAGGTGCTTTAGAGGCCGGGCCCTTGGAAGCTCCCTCCCGTTCCTCTGCTTTATTGTCTTGTACAAAGGATTTCCCAGCACTGTAGACAAAGTCTCCCTTCCATCTCTGTGCCCATCCTCCTGAGGTGACTGGCTCATTTGAGAACCTGGGGCCCATGGGGCAGGGGTGGATGTCTCTTGGCCATCCTGTACCACTGAGATTCTCTTTCCCCAGCACAAGCAGGTGAGGGAGCTCTAGGCAAACTGTGTGCCCTCCAGGGTCACACCTCAAGGTCCACTCCTGCCTTCTTGCTGATCTGGACCACAGTCAGCACCTCCTTGTGACTACCAGACCTCCCAACCCATGGCTCCGACATCTAGCCCTCCAGCAGAGACAGTCTAGTCTCCAGCCACCCCGGTGGGAACTAAAGAGGCAGACAAGGGCTGGGTTGGGGCCACTGTCCTTAGAAGTAAGAGTGAGACCTGCCTCTCCACCAAAGGCCTCAGCCCAGGCTAAAGCAAATGGGCAGCCCGGGAGGGAGGGCGGCCAGCTCTCCCCAGGCTCCCCATGCCTCCTGAATGTGCTCTCCTACTGCTGCTCTCATTCAACCTGTCATGTTCTTTTCTCTTCATCTGACCACTGAATCTGGCAATATGATATGTCTAGGCCTGAGCTCCTTGCATATGTTAAAACACCAAAGTGGCAGGAAGCTGCTGTCAGGCTGATTACGGGCACCTGGTCTCCAAGCAGACAGAGGGTGGGAGACTGCCCAGGGCCACAAGCACCCCCACGTCATGGACACCGTCCAGAGCCGTGTTCCCTGAAAGGGATGTGCCAATAACTCAAGGCGCCCCTGGGCCAGGGTGGAAGCCTCCCTCCCAGGTAATCTGTGGAGTCCAGAGTTTATTGCTTCTTTTTGTGCTTGATTTTGAACCTCCTGGATGAGGGAGCAGTGCTAGATACACTGAGATCTCTGGAGTTGAGACCATTTGCGGATTTCATAAGTGGCTTCCGTGGTGTGGGCAGCAGGATCACCAACACTTACCCTTCCTATGGTGACTTGTCTGCAGGCACCAGGAGCAGCCCCAGAAGAGATGTTTGCCCCTCTGCCAGGTCCCACGCAGCAGGGGCTTTGCTAGGCGTATGGAGAAGCGATTGGCCCTTCAGAGGCTCTCGGTGAAGAAGCAGCCCTGCCCAGCACTTGGACGGATTGGCTGTGTCTTGCAAGAGGTGGTCAGTGTTAGAGGCCCATCCACAGTTGGTCTCCTGGCTCCACCTGGCAGCAAGGAGCTGCTTCTGAGAATTTTTCTCTCTCTCCCTCCCTTTTGGGTGCAGGGGAGCCTAAAGTGGAGGGGTTTCTTTGATTTGCTGCATGAGAAGTGATTTGCAATGACAAGCTTTACTTTTGGAAGGTTTTCTGGTGGCTGATTGCTACTTATACCGTAGAGCAGTGACGTTTTGTTCGATTTCTCTTTGTATGCACTTTTCTTCGGGACCACAGCACCCCAGGGAGAGGTGGGTGGGGAGCAGCACCTGCAGTTGCAGGAGGCTGGTCTCCGCAGGTTAGAGAACAGCCTCTCTTTCCTACAGAACAATTTCATCAACCTCAGCTTTCTCCGCCTCTTGGGTGCTGCCCGGCTCATCAAGCTGCTGCACCAAGGCTAAACCATCTGCATCCTGCTGTGGACCTTCATCCAGTCGTTCAAGGTGAAGCCCAGGCACGGCCCTCGTGCCCTGACCCTCCCCTGTGTGATGCACAGTGCTGTGGCCACCAGCTCCTCCTTGCCACCAGAGCAGCCCCTCCTCGTGGAGGCTCCTTGTTGGCACCCGGTATCTTATTGTAGTTTACAAAGACATTTTAAGTGATCCAGAGAGCAACTTGGTAATGCTCACTGACTCTGAGGTGGGTTCTATGACTGATTATAGATGAAGGAACAGAGGCGGTCTCTTGGTGGATGGGTTTCATGGTCAGTGGGGGTGGATTTGCGGTCGCTGGGGTCTGGGTGGCCCCAGAGACCCAGCCACCATCCACTCTGCAGACGAGGCCCGAGCAGGGGAGCTGGGCAGCCCTCCCTGGAGCTGCCCTGTCCTCTGCATGTCTGCACAGGCCATGCCCTACATGTGTCTGCTCATCGCCATGCTGTTCTTCTACGCCATCATCGGCATGCAGGTGGGTGCGCCTGATGGGACAGGGAGCAGAAGGGGCCCCTGTGCCCTGGGGCAGAAGGGCACTAATCATGGTCATCAAATAGCATCGATGACAGATTGGCACTTGGGGAACATTTCTATGTTTGAAGCACTTTATGAACTTAATTCTCAGAAAGGCTGTTCTACCAATAAGGACATGGAGGCTGGGCACCACGGGTTTGGGCCTGTCACCCAGAGTCCACTTGTGAGGTGTAGCTCCACCGTCTGTGGGAAAATGCTCTGCTGCGCTCCTGAGTGGAACCCCATTGGGCTGTTAGGGTGTTGATGGGCATGTTTGATTGGGTGCCGGGCCCCCATGGTGGTGGAGCTTTTGAGCACCTCTGCCTGGTGCTGAGTGGCCTGCAAAGCACCAGCTGGTCATTCTGTTAGTCCAGAGAGTTGACCTGATCCTTTACAGGAAATTATATATTACAGAAGAAAAAATTCAACAGGATCACACCAGATCACTATACTGTCAAGTTCAGCTTGAATAAGTTAGATTGCCTTTATTTTGCCAAAGAACCCTTTGTCAGCTACTTGGAAAAACATTTAAAAGACAAAGCAGTGTTCCAGTTTTAAAACTTTGGCATATGGCCACTTTTCAACAGTAGGATGGGAGATGGATCAAAATGTTAAATTATAGCGGGAGAAGCCATTGTCTTAAAGGTTAGCTGAAAAGTGATTTTTAAACTCTACTTCAGGGATTGAAAGGTTCTCTTCCTTTAAAATTTGCTGAGATCTGATGCTATTTAAAAAATATATATATTTGTGCCTGCTTTGGTTTGGGAATTTATAAGACCAGAAGGGTCACTGATCTTTGTTTTTGGTGAATATGTGATAGTTCATAAATCTTTCAGCCAGATTCCAGATTTTAAGCCAAGTACAGTTACTGACTTGTTTGCATTCCTAACCCTAAAAATAAATCAATTAAAATGGATAGAAAGCCCATTGTGATATTTGCACAGAAATTTAGAAAGAAACTTTCAAGTTGACCTCATAGCTATTACCAATAAAATTACTGCTTCGGAGTCATTGATGACAGGGTGAAATTTCAAATGCTTCCTGTCTTATATATAGCGCAGCCCATGTAAACTTAGCTCCGGGTGGCATTTTTACTTGGCATGCAGACTCGCAGGTGTAGACATGCGGAGCTGGGGCGGGGGGGGCAGTGACGTGTTTGGCTGGAAGTGCTGGCCCCTCCAGCCCCTGCCGCAGTGGTGGTGGCCAAGGGCAGTGTCCTGTGCCTTGTGGGTCCTCATGTGCACACATCCTCTTCTGCCTGGCCACAGCTCCTGAGGGCCCAACAGTACCAGCCTGCAGCCTTCTTTTTTATTGCAGGTTTTTGGAAATATTGCCCTGGATGATGACACCAGCATCAACCGGCACAACAACTTCAGGATGTTTTTGCAAGCCTTGATGCTGTTGTTCAGGTGTGTTGTTTGGGGAGTCAGCGCAGGCTCAGAGGCTCCTCCGTTCAGGAGGGACATGGCATGTGCCGACCCAGAGGGCCATCCCCTCCGACCCCCAGCTCGTGCTGGCTTCCCCTCAGTGGGCCTTCCCAGCTTCTTCTCCCCTCTTCCTCCTTCCTTCCCTAAGGGTTCCTGGGCCTTGGGACAGATGGAAGGGAAATCCATGAGGGAGGTCAACCTGAGAGCCCCAGGTGAGCCTGGCCTTGACCACCTCAGCTCAGATCTCTAGGGGTGGCCAGAAGGCCTCTGGTGAAGCTGCAGCCAAGGGTCTGGGAGGACAGAAGGTGTCCAGCAGGGCCTTTTTTGGTGTGCTGGCCATAGGCTTTGCATCTGCTCACCTTGGTGACTGCAGGGTCTGTGGGATCGGGGCCGGGGGCGGGGGCAGGGCAGGGGGACACAGAGTGTGCTACTGAGGGACCCAAGGAACTCAACTGGCCAGAGTGAGAGCCTCCACCTGCCCCGTGGCTCACAGGACTGCAATCCCCTAGGCTCCAGGCTCCAAGGCAGGCAGAGTAGCTTGTTTCTGGGTCAGGCACCTCCCTGTGTGCTCGACAGGGCTGCATGTCAGCTTTTGTTCCAAGACGTGACACACTCTCTGTGGCCTACCCTGGTTTGGGGGCTGTGGGGAGGGGGTGAAAATGTCTCACTGCCTCCAGGGTCCCCTTCATTAAGGCAAGCCCACCACATGACCCTAGGAGGGAAGAAAGGAGCTCTTCATAGGGACTTGTGGAGGAGGGGTGCTGACATAAAGCCCTGCCTGGGTCTCCTTCTTGAGGTGCCCACATGTGTGTTTGTTTATGCAGATGCACCAGGATGCAGTAAGGCCTGTGCTGGGAGATGCCCAGCACGGTTAATCCCAGGCAGATGCATTCCAGGGCCCGTGGAGGTTCTTTTTATGGAGGGAGATCAGACCAATCTGCTTAGCTAAGCTTCCTGGAGAGAGTTTTCTGACTCTTGTTTTTTTTAATCAGATGGACAAGTATCCTTAGGCCTACACTTTCTCCAAATGACATCATTTCTCTGGACTTTAGCTATTACATTCATTTCATCTCTTCATTAATTAATGTCCTGCCTCGTGCTGCAATAGTTGAGGCAGGCCTATGAAACCAGCCTTAGTTTTAAGTCTTTGTTCTCAAAGATCTCTTTTCCTCCCTGGTCTCTGTGTCACGTGTGAGCACCGGTATCAGTCAGGCCTGGCATTGGACAGCTGCCCTGCAGGAAAAGCCCCCTACTCCTAGCCATTGTTAATCGGAAATGGGCTCCACTTGGCCCGAGAGCTGGCCATGCAGGCACACCCAGTGTCGGGGGGGGGGCCAGGCCCCTGGTCTGCCTGCAAGTCTAGTGCACATCTGGCCCTCGTGCTGGCCACACTCCAAGGGACAAAAGTCCATGAAGAAAGGTCCTCCAGGGTGGCCACTCAGGTTGGTGGGGCTGTTCTTGGTGTGTTCAGGAAACAGCAGATGCTGGTGTGGCTGGAGTAGACTGAGCAGTGACCATGAGGAAAGAGCAGGCTGGGAGTTTCACAGAGCTATGGGCAGTTGTGTGAACTTTGGCTTTTGCAGTGAGTGAGGGGTCATTGAGAGGAAAAGTGACCTGATCTCACCTGTGTTTAGTGGACCCACTTGGCTCTTGGGTGGGGCAGAGCAGGAAGATCCGTGAGGAAGCTATTGCAGCAGCTCAGGGGAGGTGGTTGTTGCTTAGCCCAGGGTGCTGAGAAGTGGTAAGAGTCTAGCTGGTTTTTGAAGGTAGATGAGCTGATGAAGCTGGTGAGAAGAAATGGAGGCAGGGATGCCTGCAGTATATTTGGCCTAAGAAATGGGATGGAGCCCCCATTTCTTGAATCAGGGAAGGCTGGGATGGCACATGCTGGGTGAGGGAGGCCAGGAAGGGCTGTGTTGGCTTCGAGGTGCCAGAGGTCCATGAAGGGGCGCTCACCATAGTGCTGACTTTTGGTGCAGTGCCTTGTTTTCAGTAACTAGTTCTTTCCGAGTTAATGATCAATTTGAAAACCTAATGCCAGAGGATTCTTTTTAAGAAGCAGGCGTCTCCTGTGAATTGTGCAAGACTGTTGAATCACAGATCTGTACTTCTGAAACAAATAACGCAACATATTTTAAGAAAAAAGGAAAAGAAGAAGATAACAGGAGAGGAAGAAAAGGGGAGTATGTCAGAGGGGGAGACGAACCATGAGAGATGATGGACTCTGAAAAACAAACTGAGGGTTCTAGAGGGTAGGGGGTTGGGGGGATGGGTTAGCCTGGTGATGGGTATTGAGGAGGGCACGTTTTGCATGGTGCACTGGGTGTTATGAACAAACAATGAATCATGGAACACTGCATCAAAAACTAATGATGTAATATATGGTGATTAACATAACAATAAAAAAAAAAGAAGCAGGCGTCTCTTACCTAGACCTTACATATGAGTGGGTTCTCTGTGGGAGGGAGCCCAGGGAGGGTATGCACTTGAGCCAGGTCTTCTGAGATTTCTTCT